GTCAGAGCTCTCTCGGCCCCACCTGCCTCACAGGGTGTCTGTTGTGGGGAGGGGCAGGGAAAGGAGTTTGTAAGCCGCTCAGAGACTCCGAGTGAAGGGCAGGGTATAAATCCAGTCTCTTCTTCTTCTAGCTGGCGATTAAAATTCCCAAGCCCAAACAATTGGTCATTCCCTCTGTCATCTGATCTGTGGACTGAAGCATTGTCTTTGCCCCCTATCGAAGGTTAGGAGTAAACAAGAGCTTTTGAAAGGACTTGTATAAGACGTCACAACCTTCACATGTTTCTTGGGTTCTTTGACATGGGGGTGGGGGGCAGGAAGGCGGGCTGTGGCTGAAGGTTGTGAGCTTTGTGGAGGTCACTCAAAGTTCCGCTAAATGCCTTGACGGAATGCTAACAGGGCTGCTTTGTTCCTGAAAGGATTCCTGCCTTTGGCTGGAGTCTGCTCCGCCGGCCCCTTGTATCATCTGTGCAAGCAGCAGCATTAATTTAGCTGGCTGAATCCTTTCTTCCCAGTTTGGAGGGGAGCCCCTCTCGTACACCCGGTTCAGTCTGGCCCGGCAGCCGGACGGAGACAGCAGCCACGTGGAGATGAAGCTCTCCGCCGAAGACGAGGAAGGCGGCGAAAACGGAGTCATCGACCACGTTCACACCCAGCCGGTGAAGCCGCGGAAGACCAATCGACGCTTGTGCTGCGTGTCCTCCGTGGCAGCTCTTGTTTTTCTCGCCGGTAAGGGCTTCAGGCCGGGGACAGATAGATTTAATGCATCCGGTGGAAATGCACCCGTCGTTTTGCTTCTGGTGGGGTTACCTTCAGGGGAAGCAAAGGCCAGCCTCTTCACTGGAACTCACAAGGGTCACGTTTGTGTGTAGAAAGCATCGAAGACTACTGCAGATCTTTGCCTTGCGTCAAGCACACTTGTTGTCAGGCCGTAGCCTGGCTGTTTAAGACAAAGATCTGCTTGCTGCTGGTGTAATTCTACCCCCACGGTCGTAGAGGGATGTACTGTGGAAGTGAGAAATGGCTAGCGCAGGGGTGTCGAACTGATTTGTTACAGGGGCCAGATCTGACATAAATGAGACCTTGTTGGGCCGGGCCACGTGTGTCATAAAATGTAATGCCAGGGAGCGGAGGTATGAACTTCATAAAAGACACAAACACAAAGGTTTTTTTTTTACTTAAAATAAAACCTCGCTTAAAACAGCACTCTTGCAATATTTTGTTTATTTAACAGTGTCTGATAACTGACCCCTCTTGCTCTGAATGATTGCATCAAAATGCCTGTGCTGTTGCAATCTTGAGTATGATGTTCAGGTGTGCATCTGTAAGCTGCAAACCTACGATGGCGCAGCAGCAGCAGAACTGGAAGAAGAAGCAGAAGACAACCAGTTCCACTGCGGGCCTGATAGAAGCCCCCTGAGGGCCTGATCTGGCCCCTGGGCCACATGTTTGACACCCGTGGGCTAGTGGCTTACAGGTGTCACAAAGCAGGCAGAGCCCAAGGCCTCCTGGAAGGACCCTTTATCTCTCTGGGTTTCCTTCGATGAGGAACCGGCTTTGTGATGGTGGAAAGTACTGTCAAATCCCAGCTGACTTAGGCGACCCTGTCGGGTGTCCAAGATGAGAGATGAACCGAGGTGGCTGGCCATGGCCTGCCTCGGTGTAGCAACCCCGGACTTCCTTGCCGGTCTCCCATCCAAGGACTAACCAGGGCTGTCCTGCTTAGCTCCTGAGATCTGATGAGATCCGACTATCCTGGCTCATCCAGGTCAAGGAAAGAGCCATTTAGAGGTGGCTGGCCCTTGCCTGCCTCTGCGTAGCAACCCCAGAATTCCTTGCTCGTCTCCCATCCGAGTACTAATGGGGGCTGACCCTGCTTAGCTCCTGAGATCTGATGAGCCCGGGCCGGCCTGCGCCTTCCAGCTTTACCCGTGTGGGTAAAATCCCATCCGGTCACGAGTGATTCAGTGACCGTGTTGGTTTTCCAAGGCAAGAGATGAACAGAGGTGGTTTGCCCTTGCCTGCCTCTGTCTCCTGACACAAGTATTCCTTGGCAAGTCTCCCGTCCAAATACCGACCAGGGCCGACGCTGCTTCGATCCTGAGATCTGGTGAGATCCAAATAGCCTGGGCTGTCGGGCCCAGTTCCTGGCCTAGCTTCCAGTTATTTTATAGCAAAAGCTTGCTTGGCATGTATATAGATTTGTTTTTTTAATGGCAGGTTTGAGTATAATTTGCCGCTCTGAACTTCGTCTTTGTTTTTTACACGACG